GGGTTTTAATTATAATCCGACCTCGCGTTGTTCGCGCGACTTTGTTCGAGTGGTCGTTTCATGGCTATAAAAAAATTAAATATATAGAAAATGTGGATCGTCGGTTCGGCGCCGGAAAGAAGGTAGGATTGGCTCCGGTCCGCCATTTTGGTCCGCACGGGGAGAAAATAGGGATTCTTGAGTTTTGGCATTTTTTTTTTACTGGTGCGCTTGGAGGTGGATCGTTGAACTTCGGGGGAGAGGGAGAAGTGGGGGAGTTTTTGGATTTGGACGGTTCGGGGGGAGTTTTGAGGTTTTCTGGGGAAGGGGGAAGGGGATTTTTGCGCTTGGGAATGGCGGAAAGACCGATGGTCGGGGAAGGGTAACTGGGGGAAAAAATGCAAGAGGGGTCCTAAGTGCAGCCTAAGGACCGGCCGAAACGCGGAGGAAGTTCACATGGCTAACCCGCTCGTTACTAGAGCCGATGCAGGCCTAATTACAACTATCTTCCATCTACTGGCCGGTGTTATTAACCCCGAGTGCACCGCCGAAATTTCCAGGGATATGCCCCTAATGTGGAGGTGCATCCTTCGCATTTTGCGTTTCCGCAGGAAGCGCCGACTCTCCGGGTATGACGCGTAGGTCGCCGATCCGAAAACGCGACCGGGTTCGCGTGGTATGGATAAAGGGCGGACAAAGAGGAATTTTAATTTCCGAAACCTTGGAATAAATAGATCCGTGCGTAAGGAAGGGGATGGAGGGGAAGAAAAGTTTCGGAAAGACGCGCAATATCGGGCCCAAACACCCGCCGCCATTTTGGCCCCGTGGAAATGCACCGGTATCAGCGAACGCGCGTAATTTATGCAACGGTGTCGCGAAATCTGCGAACGAGTCTAAAAATCGGCCCGGCCGAGAGGGCGATTTCGTAATTTGCGGCAGCTGCTTGCGTCACGAAGTGCACATATATGTCGCACAGTTATGCTTATCCGATCGAAATTCGGGCGCGCGATCGCGACATTATTACCGAGCAACAACGCGGCTCTCGCAACGGCGTTGCAAGAGGGCAAGTGGGATAGGGTGACGTCCCGAATTATGCACGAAGGAATTAGGCGACGTCCTCCATTCCGCTCCAAAGAGGCGACAAAGGAAAAAAAAAAAAAGAAAATATCGACGCGCGGATTACGAGAGAGTCGCTCTTCACCGCGGCTTCTCCAAGATGGCGGCGCCATAATTCGTAACAGATTTAATCATCGATTAATTTGAAATACGACTCGAAATCCCGAGATCGTCATATTCCGCACCCGATACCCAGGGACCATCGGGCCCCACCGGAATCGATATCGCGTCGATCGATCGATTCATTGATGCATCGAGTGGTCGCAGGGTGTAACGTCCGGTTCCTTTGCAGGGCCGAGGTGCGGCCGTCCCGCGGCGGGGCAGCTGCGGCCGAGGGTGCCGCGCAGAAAATAATAATCCGAATGTCCGATCGTAATTGCGGCAATTACGGGCAATTATCCCCGTTAGGCCGAACCCTGGATTCCGCGAGGACGCGGCCGGAAAGTCGGTAAAAGCGGCGGGATGCATTTCCGATGCATCGTCGAGGCGATGCAGGTCGGAATTTCTCCCAGCATCCCTGGCACTCCTGAGATCCGTCAGCGTAATGGAAGGCCGCCTAATCGCGGTTTCCGCGAATCGCGAGTCGCGAGTCGCGAGTCGCGAGTCGCGCTCTAGGCAGATGTCGCGCATAGCTCAGCATAGTGCCGCTCTTTGTTCTATGCATTCCGCAGGTCTATGCAGTTTTGCGGGCCGCTCCGGTGTCGCGAGGCTGGCGTTCCCGGCGTCGTCGTCGCCGTCGCGACGACCGGTTGCGAAACGCTCCGGCATGCTGGCCGCGATTAGGAATTTCTTTCGTGTCGCGGAATCGTCCCTGCCGCAAGGAACGGTGTCGCGATCCGATTTCGAAACCGCGAAGTTCTCGTAACATCGGGAAGCCTTGCGACACTTTCCATAACAGAAGATGGCGGCGATAATAGTCCGATCGAGAGCCGAGACCTCCGCGGGAGATATGACGCGATTAAAAAAATTTCCAATACCTACTCTAGGGCGAAATTAGGTTGGATAGGGTTGGAGTAGACTTTGAGGAGAGTCGTAAGGACGGAACCACCTTCTAGACCTTTTGGGGCGGCGTTTACGAATTTTCTGAGTCCTGCGCCTTCGGCCATTTTGATTCGCACAGTGATTACCTAACCAGCGTTTGGGCCAGGCGGCGAGGGCGGAGGAGGGGAGTGGGCCCTATGGCCGGGGTGGCTAGTTTCGGGGCCCAGGAGGGGCAGGAAGGTGGGGGATTTTGGCCGTTCGGTCACGGCCGGGAGGTGGTGGTCATCTGGGCGAGGGGCGCGCCGAAGGGACGCGGAAGGTGAACGTCCAAGGGGGCAACCTGTTCGGGGTTCATGGCCCTCGGACGAACTAGCGAACGTACAGGGCCCCATCCTGCCGGTCCTTCCGAGGACCTCTTCGAGGCCGAGCTCGAGCAAGGACTCGGCACCTCGGGGCTGCCCTTCTCGGCGTTTTCGCGTTTTCCGAGTCTCTCGTCGCATTCCTCGGCATCTCCGACCTTCCTCGACGCTCTTCGGCATTCTTCATCCGAGGAGGTGCGGAAATCGAGGAGGGTCCCGAAGGACCCAGGTTTTCCCTCGAGGAAAATAGGATCCAGGTCCTGGTCGGCTCCATGGACTTCAAGGTCCACCTGGACGCGTCATAGGGTCCTTGGGGATTGGGGAAAAAATATTTTTCGGGGTCGCGCTTCCGGAATCGACGGTTTCGGGAGGTCCTCGAGGTCCTTCCTTGGTCTTCTGGATTGGGTGGAAGGGTTGGTCCGGCCCGGGTCCAACTCCGAGGTCGACTTCTCGCCTCTTCCGGGCGCAGCCTCGGGTCCGATATAGGCGTGACCCGAGTCCACTTCCTACAAGGATAACTTAAGCAACCGCTGCACCGGTTACAGGAGTAGAGGAGCGTACGGGAGACCGGGTGAACGTTTCCTCGACCGAGTCTGCACGTACACCTAGCGAAACCAGTTCCAAGGAACGCATACTCGCAGGATCGCCAGGATCCTCGTCTGGCCTCGTCCTGCCAGTGCCGGCCAGGATCCTACTCTATTATCCCGATGTCCTTAGCATGTATTTTTAGAGAATCGGAATCGGACCCGTCCCCTCTCCCAGGATAGACTCATCCTCGGGCGTGCGCTCGATTCCTCGCGAGGACACCGTTTTGGATCCTTTCGCTGCTCCCAGAAAAAAAAAGAAAAAAAATGTAAAAAATGGGAAAAAGGATCAGGACTCGAAGCGACCAGCCCTTAGACGCCTCCCCTGGACTCCGGAGTTGACCTAGCGAAATGACAAGGACCTTCGTCGAGATTACGCCGTGGCAGCCCCGCTGCCGCTTCGCAGGAGTTGCAGCACCCGCGGTACGCCCTGTAACCATAAAATCGCTCCAAGGACTTCGAGAGGAGAGAAAATCGGTAGTACGCGAGAGCAAAGAAAGGTAAAAGGACGGTCTCGAACAGGTTCCCCGGACCGCGTCCCGGAAGAGGGACAACATCGCCGGCTCCTGCGAGGAAGAAGGAGAGGGAGCCCGGGGGGAGAACGAGAGGAAGAGGGAGAGAGAGAGAGACCGATGAAATTTACTTTCAAATTCCTCCGATTACTCCTCGCGCCCTGGACAATCGTTCCCGAAGAGAGCCGGCCATTTCGCCAGGAACTCCGGGACCAGGCGTCCCTTCGACTCGAAATTTCCCGTCGCGACGACGATCCCCCGCGTGCCTCCCAGAAGTCGTCCAAACACCCATCCCGAATTCCAATCCGCTCCCAGGAGGATCCTGGCAGGACTACCTCGAAGCTTCCCGCTCCCAGGATCCAGGTCCCAACTCCTCGACGGGACGGATCCCCCCGATCCGCAGGTCCTCGGAAAATCCTAGAAAAGGGAGCACGATCCCAGGGCGTCCTGCCCCTGGCGAGTCCTGGGTCCCCCTTGGCTCGGGTCCGGCCTATCGCTGGCTCGGCCTAACTGTACATAAGTTTGGCTATGCTCGGGCTAAATGCCTCGGTGGGGGGAGGGGGAGGGGGTCGCGGTGGAGGATGACGAGTAGGCCGCGTCGGTGGAGGTGCGCGTCGGGGTGGTGGGGCGACCGCCGCCCGCGGTGGGGTGGGCCGGGCCGGGGGTGGGCGGGGGTCGGGGGTGCCTCGGGAGTTCGCGAGTAAAAGTGGAGGGGCGAAAGAATCGGGCCGCGCGGGGGGGGAGGGAGGGCGCGGGGCGCCCGGGGGGCACGGGAGGGATGGCCTCCCCCTCCGCCGCGGCGGCGGGCGGCGCGCCGCCGTGCTCGGCTGCGCCCCCTCTCTCTTTCGGAGATTCCTATGAATTTTGCGACACTCAATAAAAAGTGGTTCCACGAGGTTAACATTTCGGTAACTATACCTCGTCGGGCGTACCCACACAGGGAACTCGGCGAGGCGCGCGCCTCCTCGCGGGGAGCGAGCGGACGACCCGCACACGCTCGGCCGCGCGCGGGCGCGCCGGCTCGGGGGGGCGGCGAGCGCGCCGCCACGCACACGCGGACGCACGCGTGGTGCACGCGGACCCACACAGACGAGGCCGGCCGAAAAACTGCATGGGAGAGGCGCAACGGGCAGAAACCGAACCGCGCTTGAATCAAGTGCTTTGGCCAGTCGCGTTCCCAATCACTCTACGACTAGGTAGTCCCGGTGTCGAAAGGTCTCCCTCGGGTTTCGCCGGAGCCCGTCTCGCTCCCTCTCGCTCGACGCCGAGCCTCGCCCCCAGGAGGCCGCAGGCCCACGGCGACCGGACGCGCAGGGCCCGGCGGGCCCTTCCTCTACCGCCGCCCCACCGGCGCCGGCGCGCCCAGGGCTTCCACGCAGGGGGCGCGCGCCCCCGCCGGGCCCCAGGATACGAGACCCCGACGGGGAGATGGACCCCGCCGAGGGGCCCCGACCCCTGGCTCCGATCCTGCCCCTGGGCCGACCAGCGGCCTAGACCGACCCCGCCGTGGGACCTAGCCACCCGAGCTCCAGTTTCGCCGACCAGGACCGAGGTACGTCCTTCGAGATAGAGCCCGTCGACTCTGCCCCGCGATCTGCGCCGCGCGGGCTGACCTTGAAACCGGGCCGGGCCGCTTCTGGGCCCGGCGACTCCTTCGCGACGTTCTAACCTAAAAGGCCGGTCCGAGTCATCCGCTGAAACGCCCGTAGGAAGTCGACGGGAGGGACCGCGACGGAGATACGCCGCGCATGGGGGAGCGACGGAGACGGAGAGAGACTCGGCCGTGTGCGTCGAGTACGGAGAGGCGCGTGCACGGTTCCTCTACCGACGCGGCGTATCAACGAGGACGTGCACGGGTCGGGGTCTCTCTCTCTCTCTCTTTCCGGCGCGGCGGGCCTAGCGCCGTCTCTCTCTTCCTACGGCATGAGTCAGTCGCTCTCTCCGCTTCTCTCTCCGTTCGCGACGTCTCGTCCAGTGGCTCGGCATCCGCTGCGAGCGCGCGCGAGAACGCCCGTCGTCCTCGCGAGCCCGTGCCCGACTGCGGCCGTTCCGCCGCGGTTAAGGCCGCGGACCGCCCGCGTGGAGAGGGACCGCGCGGCTAGACGATCGCTAGACGGCCCGACCAGCCAAGGCAGACGTTAGAGACCGGTTAGGAAATTGCGTAATCCACGGCCAAGTGCGCCGTCCTTGTCTGAGATCCTTTGTCGGGGCCGGACGGGCCTTTCAGGGTCTGGTTCTCCCGGGGACGGTTCCGACGCCGTAGACGCTCGACGCCAAGTTTCCCCTATTTCCTTGTCAAATTCCCTAGATAACCCGAAACCTGGTCGCATTAACGAAAGCACCTTCTCCGGTCCCGTGGTCCCGGGGTCGGAACGCCCGAGTACGGGGGGAAGTCACGGAAAAAAGGACTCCTAGATCCTTTGCCGACGTCCTTTGGCGCGATTCAGAATTTATTATTCCCCAGGGTGGAATTTGGATCCTTTGAAAAATTCACGGACCGTCTCTCGCGAGTATTTCGGTGATTTTCGATTTTTCTTTGGAGGGAACCTTCGGCGTCCATTCGTCATCTCCAGGAAGTACGTCTTCCCGAGTGATCCCGAGCCCGGAAAAGGAGGTCGGGGGTCCCGCGAGCGGCTCGATCCCCTTTTCCGCGGGGATTCCGCGTCGCGTCGTTCCGACAGGAGAAACCTGTTAGGAAGTGACGCAACCCTTTGAGCCCGCTCGCCCCGTTCCTCGTCCTCTCCGTCCGTTCGTCCTCGCGTTCCTTTTTCTCCCCGCAGCATCCCCGACCCTCGGTCCCCACGCTCCCGTTCTCACGAAAACCAGAGCGCTCGAAATTTGCCCCCATCCGCTTTTTTTCTCCTCCAAAGGGGGGCATCAGGTGTGACCCGCTCACCTGTCCGGTTTCACCTCTGCGGAAAACGCGACCTCGACGGCCGATCCAAGGGATGGGGAGCTCGCGGCGGAAACGCCGGGAAAACCGACCGGGGAAATAAAAATAGTTCGAAAATTTCAGGTCCGCCAAAAAGAAAAAAAAAGAAAAGAGAAAACTGACGCGCCCGGAAAAAATACGACTCTCGGCCGGATAAATATAGCCGCGCGAGTATGGTCGCAAAAATTCCCGGCAAGGTGTACGGACCGCCGCGGATAATCCGCGAAAATTCCGCAGCCTCCCCCTTCCGTTATCAGGCGCCCCCCGTTCTTCCTTCCCACCCCTTTCGGTGATTTATTAACCCGAAATATGAGTCCGCGATCCAGGGGCGAACTATTTACCTGGCCGCGCAAAAACCGCGCATAAACAGGCCGAGAAATGCGGAAAAAAGCGCGGGACGGAGGGGGAGAAAAAATAGGGGGAAAGTCGCGGCGGGCATTCGTGCGTCTGGGAAAAATACGCGGTAGCGGCGTTTTCATCTTTTTCCCCGTTTTTCTCTCGCTTCCTCGGCCCGACCTTTGGGCATCGCCTCGGTCGCGTCTCTTTCGTCTATTTCGCGAAGTTCGTCATTGGAGCTGCACGTGGAGGGGAAGAAATGGCGTTAAAGAAAAATGGAGCGATTCGGCTACGGATGTCGGGATCGTTGGGAGGGGGTTCGAGCGATTAAGGATATCCAGGGGTGGCGGTATTCGTATCTCGAGAAGAGTGTCCTGTTTTTCGAGACGTCTCCCTTTTTTTCGCCTCCTCGACGTCGAGGGGACGAAGTTGCACGGCACGGAACTGGGTGGAATATAAATAGATCGAGAGATGCACGAGTAGAGAGAGGTTAGCGGGCGTAGAGAGTGGCGGTCGAGAGGGGGTGCGGAAAACCGCGAAAAATTCCAGCTGGCCGGCCGATGGCTCTTCCTCTTTGCTCCCCTTTCCCCCGGTCGTCCCCTCGGGAATGGCTGCGTTAAAAGGACGCAAAAGTGCAGCTCGAGTGGGACTCTTCTACGCACTTCCGACCGCCTACGCAGTTCCGTCGCCTATTGAGCGCGAAATCCGTCCGGCGACTCACGTGGGATTTCTTGCGCATCGGGCCGACCTTCGCGCGGCTGCACCGGGTAAACACTCCGCTAAAAAAACAGTCACCGAGATGCACCGGCCGCGACTTTTCCTCCTCGGGACGGGGCAGACCCCGCGGTCCCCTTTCGGCGGGATCCGCGTGTCCGCCGGCGCTGGAAAAAGAAACGCCCCAAATCTGGGAACAACAACTAATCTCGATATCCGAGCCGGCGAGGAGCAAATCGAGCCTGACCGGAGCCGCGAGGAGGTCCGCACTCCGTTTCGCCATCCCGGCCTCGAGAAGTCGACTCTCCAGGGCGTCGTATCGACCTCGGGCCGAAGCCGTCCAAGGAGTCGCGCCGAAACCATAGGCCCGGCCCGAAGAAAGTACACGCGACATCATTCAAATCGGCGATTAGATTAGACGCCTAGTAACTAGATTGCGCCTCCGGTTATCTCTGGAATTAGACGCCGGGGCGACCGCGGGGAATTTAAGCGAGCGCGATTCCGCGACCGAGCGCTGCTCTCTATTTCCCCATCTTTGAGGTTACCTCTCCTTTTCGTTATCGCTCCTCGTTGTTTCCTCGGATCGGGTCGTACTTCTCTTTTGCCACCCTCTGGGGAAGGGTTAAATGCTCTCCGGGGAATTCGGGAGTCAGCTGATCCGCGCGACGGTCCCCGCGCGGGAAGTTACCGCGACGGGAGTATACGCGGGATATTTATGCAAGGGGGCATGCGGTTCTTTCCTATGCTCTTTGTTTCGTGTGGACCGCGTACGGTCGAGCTTTCGCACACGGAGCCACGCACGCCCACGCGTGTACGCGCTGACGCTCGGCCTCGCGCGAATCCTCGACTCTTGTGTGCACTTCCCACATGTCGCCCCAGTGCGTCGAGCCGCTTCGCGAATCGTGGCCCTGGCAAAAATCCCGCCGATCGAATTAAGCTCGTCGCCGAGATCGGCAATCGCGAACGCGACCGGGAATTCCTCGGCCGACCTCGCGGAATAATTCCGAGGAGGTGCCTAGTAGTTCGGCGACCACGATGCCTCTGATCTTGGAAACTTCAGGGAGATATTTCCACGACATTTAATCATATTTAATGGTATTCGGAAATTTGGGCATCCCTTAAAAACCTCCCTCGATTTTGACAAGATGCTTCCTAGGACGTCCTTGGGAGTCCAAGTTAAACCTAACCTAACCTAACCTAACCTAACCTAATACGGTGAAATCCACGGAACTATACCTTTAGAGTTAGATTTTCGCGCGAAGCAAAATACCACCGGGTCTAATTTCCTCGTGCAATTAAAATGCACGCAGCTGTCGGCGTGACGCATTACGTAATGCGTCGAGTTTTACGAAACGACAGGGATACCAGGGCGATACGATCGATAGTCGGGGGAAAGCGACCGGGGAACAATTAAATGGATAAAAAAGTCCGTTGGAAGCGCATCGAGGCAATAATCACGAGAGGGGCTTATCGGAGGCATCTCGCAACGCGGAGAGGCGCGATAAGGGCTTTCCCTCGGCACCGAGGAGGCGAAGACGGCTCCTGGAGGAAGGTCTAGGGTAGGGCAAAGCTCGCTTATTTTTGCGCGTCCTCGGGGCGCAATTAAAGATACATCGGCGACCTCGTTCCCGAGAATGCCCCCGATAATTCGGGAATTCGACCTAGGGAAGAGTCTCGGGCGAGGTGGGTCGCCGCGGGCGGAAAACGCGCGTCAATAGACGCGTAGACGTGGAGTCATCGGTGACCTCGTCGATTCGGGGCCTCGACTACTTCCGGCCATACCGAGAAGCTTCGCGAGCGTTAAATACGGTCAGTAATGTTTCCCGGAAGGACCCATGGCGTCGAAAGTCGGTCGCGTCCAGCCCGGGGCGGTCGCCGCCGAGAGAAACGGCAAACAGGAACGAGACGGGGACGAGAAAACGCGGGAACGCGCGTAAATATCCAGCCGAGCTGGTCCGCGCGCTGTTTAGGAATCCGTACGTGTCGAGCGTAGTAAATGGCAGTCGAAATTAAATATAAACCAGCGCGGTGTCAGTCGCGACGTCCAATTGCGGACACGAGGGGAAGCAGGGTTTCGACGCGGGTTAAACCGTTCGAGTCTTGAACTTTCTCACCTACTCTATTTTCCCTTTGGATTGAAATAGGATTTCCTCGTGTTTGAGATTTTTTCCGAATTTTTCTACGCGTTCGATATGGAATTATCGGGGACTTTGTCAACGGCCTCCGCTGCGCGATCCGGGCCGCGCCCGGCTTCCGTTCCGTTGGAGCGGTCAGGCCGGGCCCGCGGTTCGCTCCGCGCGGGTCTAGCGGAAAGTCAAGGCTACGGCCGCCATTTCGACCTAACCTTGTCGTCGCGTCGCTTAGACGAGAGAGAGAGAGAGAGAGAGAGAAAGAGAGAAGGAGAACGGTCGGTTGTTCGGCCGTTGGCGTGGCGGAGGGCAATGGCTACCAAATGTTTGCTAGCCGACTGGGGGGGGAGCGCGTTGCAGCGACTACTGCCGACCTAACCTCTCCTCCTTTCTTTCCTCTATCTCTATCCCTCTCCCCGTTTCCCGACGCCACCACCGGCG